TGTCAAGGCATTGTGGGAGACAAAGTGGAAATTTCCCGTACATACTTCCCAAGGTTGGTATGATCACGGCAATGATGCTCACATCTCATAGTGCACGAAGAGTGTATATCCTTTCCATGACGGAAAATTTGAAGATTTTGAACCCATCTTTGAGCATCTAATTGCTGTGAGCCTTCCACACTCGTTTCCACTTTTCGATGACTGACAATTCTCAGAACAACATAAATGATGGATATGGTGATGCCTTCACTGAAGCCTTCTTTCCGATCGCCGAAAAGCTTACTGCTCAAGGAGATGAGTCGGTGGCTTCTGGTGGTCAAGCTTCGGCATCAGAGCTCTATCTACGAGCCGCTTGCGTATATCGAATTGCAAGATTTCCATACATCGGCAGATTTCCGAAGATAAGTTCCCAAGTCAAATGGAAAGCATGGGAAGCCCAAAAAGAGGTGTATATGAAAGCTGCCACAAAATGGGACTGCCCAGTAGAAGAGATTTTGATTGAACATAAACATGCGAAAGAGCAAGATGAACTCTCGATACCTGTTTATGTGAGATATCCTCCCGCTACCAAAAATTCGAAAGTGCCTGTGGTTCTTCTCTTGACTGGACTCGATGGATATCGACCGGACAATACAGTTCGAAGCGATGAGTTTATCAGTCGCGGTTGGGCATGTGTCATTGCGGAGATTCCAGGGACGGCTGACTGCCCTTCTGATCCAAGTGACCCTTCAGCTCCTGATAGATTGTGGACAAGTATTTTGGAGTGGATGAAACTAGGAGACAGATTTGATATGAGCCACGTGATGGTATGGGGTCTCAGTGCTGGTGGATATTATGCCGTCAGACTGGCTCATACGCATAAAGATCAACTGAGAGGAGTTGTTGCACAAGGCGCTGCTGTTCATTACTTCTTCGGTAAAGATTGGCTTGAAAAAGCTGAAGGACATGAGTATCCTTTCCAGTAAGTTTTTTGTTTCCAGGAGCCTGGAGAAATGCAATCTGACATCTCCTAGACTTGGTCCAGCTATGGCATTAAAGCACGGGTATACCTCCATAGAAGAATTCAGGACCAACGTCCAAAAGAAATTCTCACTACTTGAAAGCGGAGTAATTGATAAGCCTTCGACAAGACTGTTGCTCATAAATGTAGGGTTCTGATTGCATATGTGTGCCATACGGCATGACTGACAGCTCATCTGATAGGGTACTTTAGACGGTTTGATGCCGATCGAAGATTCGCAACTACTGTTTGAACATGGAACACCAAAAGAAGCTCGGTAAGTCAAAGATTCATCTATAAAATCGTTGGTTGTTCATTAACACTGTTAGTTTCTTTCCTGGTGCCTTACACATGGGTTACCCAATGGCCAATTCGGCAGTGTATCCATGGATGGAGAGTGTGATGGAATAGAACGAGTGAGGAAGTTATGCCATGAACAAAGTCGAAGAACGGACGCGAAGTAGCCACCACTATCTCAAAGACCCTTTAAGATCCGCTCGTCGACGGAAATGATGTTTTCTGCCACATGGAAGTATGTAACACATCATTATAGCAGCGCGTGTTACTCGAATACACAATTGAGCCATATATGCTGTCTTTCCATTGTAACTCTAAATATTCAGAATTTATTGGTATGGCTCCGAAATTCCAACTCCTTGATCAGTGTCGACCGTTGAAATTGCTGAAATTGCATTCAAAGCACGCGCCACTCCACCAATGCTTTTAATTACATGATCTCGTAATGTTGCTCACTTCCCACTAACATGGTCTCCACATTTCCGCACTCCGACACGTCCCTGATTAGACGTGTTGTAAACTGAACAAGTGCATAGATACCAATGCCAGATATCTTCGCTCTCTCCTATCGGTCAGACTTACGCGAGTGAACATACTTCTTAAGTTTTGACTGTTTGTTTATAAATTGGTAGTGGAATTTACACATACGAATAATTAAGCTTATTACCACCACTTCATTTGCTAGTCGCCAACTTCGCGAAATTTTAGCATATTGGTATACAAATAGTGATTTAGTACAAATCTTGCTGGGGAAACATCAACCTGGATATGAAAAGAGGATGGGTTTACTGGATGGCAGACAGAGCCTCCAAAGAAGCTATGAATCTTTTAACACAATCAGGTTAATATTGAAGATCTGTTTCATTTCTATTATATCTACCTAAATCAGTAAACGTTCCATTATTTAAAACAGGCCAAAATAAAAAGTGATAGGTGAGAGCGATAAATTCAATAGTGTGAGGTGCTTGAGAAGAGGTACTGAAAATTATTTGTTTACTTAAACTGAGATTAGGGTAGGAAGGGATTTTCTCTATACCTTCTGTGCTAAGAGGTTGATGCCATCATATGTATTTAATCTACACAGGTAAAATCATGTTCAGAAATTCTCAAATCGAGAAAAGCTACTAACTTAGCGACCTCGCTAAAATACACTACAGAGGATCTAATACAAGGTCACTCACTATGATTCTCACAGTTTCAACCGTATTGGTACTTTCGACATTATATTTGATAAGTTCAAGGGACACTCGTAAGAGCTGTATCAGGCAGGCTTAAGATTGGTATGAATTTGAATACGCTCACACGTCTTGGTATTAGATCTTCCAAGCCTATGCCCTGTGTCCTTTTTATCCATTGAATATCCGCACGACTTCTTCAGGTGTACTCTTTAAAAACTCTAATATTTCCTCCGACGAGATATTGAAGGTTGAGCACTGGTATTCAAATCCGGGGAATCGTAGATTGAAGAGTAACGAACGCAAGCGAAAATTTGCGATACGTCTGGGAACACTACACACGCACTACGATTTAGGCCCAAATGACGTCGAGTATTTCTTTGGGGGAACCAACAATAGAAAAATGAGTTTTCGGATTTTCTGTGAAGCTTTCAATCCGGAATCTTCTTGTTGATTTTCATTATTGAAAAAAATACGTGTAATGAATATCCCTCACATTCTCAATAGAGAACTAAAAACCACATTCACGTCTTAACTCCGACCGGCGAATTGTTTTGAATCTTTAACCTTAAAATAAACTTTGTTTTTCATTTATTCCTCCTTTCATGCTCTGAAAATCCTTCGCATCCTTATTATTCAGGGTTGGGGCTCGGGCTGACTGTACTTTAGGGCTATTTATATAAGCTTATCATATTTATGGGGTCCTCTCACATGAACGTTACATCACCCGTAAGCCTGTAATCGTACACCTAACGAAAACAGATGATATGACGGTCATGAGTGAAGTTTCGGCCCTCTGAAATTTAAATTCTCACATAGGATTAAATCTCTTAATCTGATTTCGGAACTCGGCAGGCGAGGGGACAAGGGCTCACATGTACGGAGATTTCATTCGTACATACATACCTCCAATGGATTCGATGACATACATGTTCCATTTGATACTGACGGTATTACAACGCATTAATGACTTAATTTGATCTTGACATTCAGAATAAGTTTTTAATAGAATCGGGATCTTCTACTACCTTGCTCTTCAATCTGCCGAGTATGCCTGCTTTCAACCGGAGGCAAAACTGTTGCGCGAGTTGTCACAGGAATATTTTTGACTAGTCCTTCTCTAGTCATACAGCAAGAATCACGGTTGAAGTTGAAGCTATTCCCTCTTTTCTAGCCTTGAGCCTCTATACAAATATTTAAATTGTTATTAATTCTGTTTTATCAGGCAGTGTAAACAGATTGGGCGAGGGCGAGCTCTGTAATCATTTCCACTGAGTCCTCCCTTGCTAATATTTATGATCATTGAGAATATATGTGTATCTATTCATTACTATAAAGCTAGTAATTCCTGCAGATACCTCGTATTTCAAAGTCTGAAACACCCAGTAAGTACCGCGAGTGAGTATCTCGGCTTGGTGGCTATGCGGGGCATTCCTCAGAGGATCAGTCAGATTCATTTCTTTGGGAGAACAATGTAACACTTGAATTTTATGCTTAGTGACATACCTGAGTCCTTCTTTCTTGGCTTTGAGGCACATTCGTGAAGGAACTTCCTACTGAGCACTAAGTGAGGTTTATACGTGCTAAGCTGTGGAATCTCCATGGCCTTCCTCATCACACAGATCATATAAATATCATCAAATATCTCTGCTACAACATAAATTTCTTACACAGCATTCTCTTCACTTCAGTCTTTACTCTCAGTTCAAAACACTATCATTAAGTTTATCTTTCGTTTCTTAAACAACAATCAAAATGAAGCTCTCTCCAATCGTCGCCTCCGCTCTCCTCCTTTTCCTCCCCGCCATCGTCTCCGCGGCCCCTACCTCATCTCCCGCTGAGATCTCTACCATAGATTCAGACCCTACCCAGCTCTTCGGTCGCGATGGCCAAACATGTAACGAGCCAAGACCCGTCATGACAGGCGACAAGACCAAAGATGATGCCGCCACAAAGAAATACAATGATCTCAAGAAAAAGATGGCGGACGCCACTGCTGCCGCCCACAAGGGACAAACTGCTTGTCCCTCGACTTCGCTTACCGATTTCACTAAATCAAAGGATAAGACGAAGAGAACACAGATCAAGACTAAGTGTGTTAACGGTTATCAAGCGTATGTATTTCCGAGTTTTCTTCTTTTAGGAGAGATGTAATGAGTTTGGTGACTAACTAGTGAAAACAGATGCGTCAAGAACCGTAAGGCAGCTAACACCGCATGCACTCAACTTGGCGGAACTGTTGACCAAGGTCACTTGACTGCCGTCACTGTTTGCCAATCATCGCTCGACACCTGGAAGGCAAAGAATCCATAGATAACGGACTAATCCGTCGCTTTTGACAGTCTAATTGTCTTTTGAATTTGGAGATGAGATTCGGGGAGTGTTCTATTTGATTTTGTTTCTGTTGTATCTTCATAAGAAGAATTTTGGCATTGGAGGGTTGTTTCGTTTAAGTGGAGAGAAATTGCATACTGGTTAGGTTAGGATTGGGTTTACTAGAAGTTTGGTTTTACAGATAGCATCAATACTTAAAGGCGCTCATTTGCACCCTTAATATCCTTGTCTTGCTGAGTATGAAGTAGAATTGTTGTTATAAGTTGATTCCACAAGTGTCCGGCGCCTGTGGAAAGAATCTGGTCGGACTTGAAAAATTCTGGTGGGTCTGCGCCACGGGTCTGGTAAAGCTCAGATTTATGTCTTCCGTTTTCGAGCAGTCTACTTCTCAGTCCTTCGATGTAATTTTGAAGCATTAATTGTCTAGAAACGACGAGTATTGTGGGATTTGTTGATGAACCGGAAATAAGGGGATCCATTGAGCCTTTTTTCTCACAGGCATCTATTTGAAAAAATTCTAGCAGTCGTAAGCCTTCAAAGTGCGAAAGATAAGGAGCAATTTGAACGACAATTGATGTTCGATGAGATTCATAATCTGATTACTTAGTATGAAATGAATATTTCCATACTTTCAAGGGGTTTGAGACAATGGTTGAAAAGCTATACTCAAATCCAAGCCTCTCATCATCTCACGAATCTACACCCTCACTATTGCATGTCTGACGTCGAAACGTCCGTAGAAAAGATTAAGAGATGAAACTTATCAGTCTTTTTGCTCATATTGCTAGCTAAGATCTGAAAAATCTACCTTGGCATCTGATCTGACCACATATACATAAGTTTTCGCGGTTTCTTCTTCTCTGGAAATGATCGATCTAACATTTCCGCTACCAAGCATTACAAACACTTGAACATTCATCTTACCGACTGGTCAAATTTGTTCCACTACCTAGCCACATACTATTGACTGCCAGTCTTTCAAATGACTAGTCAGACATCTCTGTATACATGAGCGCTTGAGCGCTGCTCAATCATTCTTTGCAATTCCCGATAATTTACTGTGCAAAGAAGGCTTTTCACATAACTGTTATGAAATTAATTCTCCACGACCTTGGGGGAACTAAAAGTATCGTAAGACATGCTCTGAACAGCCGACTCCCAGGCGTTGTCAACTTCGTTCGCACCATCAATCCAGAACAACGATAGTTTTGGGGCCAACTCAAACATTTTCTGTGCGCAGCTTTGGACCGTTGTATGGTCGAGATCTTGAACATGCGATTCCCTTAGATAGTAATCGAACATAAAATCCAGATTTTCGAGAGCAGGAAAAGTGTGTTTGAACGTGCCACTCATAGCCTCTTGCCAGTCAAAGTTGCAGGATATTGCCAAATCTCCTAGATTGTAACAATACTGAGCTAGAGAAAGAATGGAGCTCCACGTAAGCAAATCGGAGCGGTCAAAAATGATACTCAAAGAGATGATACTTTCTCCTAGTGCTTGAGCGACCTCGTCAATAACATCATCAGTAATACCGGTAGTAGAAGGACGAGAGGCAGGACCCGGTGGAGAAAACGCGTCATCGTCAACTACCCCAAGCGATAGCGAAGATAGTAAAGGGCAGTTTCTTGCAAGGAGTAGAAGATCGCTGCCGCTGATTCGATTCCGTGGTCCAAATTCGACTTTCAGATTCGTGAGATGTGAGAAATTCGATGCAGATGCGAGGATTCTGAGCGATGGAGGCAGATTTTGTAAAGTGATGGATAGATCCTCCAATTTGGGGACATGTTGAGCCAAGCATTCTAAATTACGCTCGGAAATGCCGGTACTCAAGTGGACTCCCAATTTTGGAAACAAGGGAGTAGAAGGGTTGGCACGACTGACAGAGTCAATCCAATTGTTCTGAATATCAGGAATCTCAATGTAGGTCAGATTTGGAAGCTTGGTTATGGCTTCAAATGCCTCGTAGGACCAACTATCGTAAACCCCAGTTTGAATGACGAGGGCTGTCAGTGTATCCGCTCTATCCAAAAATCGAATGAGTCCATCTTTGGATAGATCACTTGAGCTTATTTTGCTGAGATGTAGAGATTTTAGTCTTGGGCAAGATTGTGTTAGTTTGTCAAACAAAGCGTCGGAAATGCGGCTTCCTTGGTACACCGTGAAACTCTCTATGTTCGGTTGCACGTAGTGACTGATGAATTCTCCCGTATTCAATTCAGTTGCGTTGTCGGATTCGTGAAGGCTGAAGTCTTTCAACTGAGGAAATTGCAAGGAAGTGAGCTCTTTATGCCATCTTGCTTCATCGAGATAAACCTCATCACCACCCTCATTCTCCTCCTCTTCTTCTTCACTTTCTTCTTCCGCAAATTCAAGCACGTGTATAAAATCGGCGTAGTACTGCGCTCTCTCAGTATCTTGAATAGCTATTTGAGCGAGATGTTTGATACTAGGCGTCCCCTGTTCAGCAAAGCAATAAGCTCCGCATGAGTACCACAGGATTCTACATGATTCTTCCGAGAATGTTTTGGAGACAAAGAGACAAGTATGAAGGAAGCCAGGGATTGAACTGTTTGTCTCCAGAATTGTTGCAACAATTTCGGGGAGGAGAAGTGCGCGATGCATGGCGAAATGCTGCAATTTAGGAAAATAGAGTTGATCAGAGCTACCAAACTACCGAGATTGAGTGTATCTTGTGTAAAGAAACGAAAAGTTGCCAAAAACTTGTAAAAGGACAAGAACGAGAAGAGGATTTGGGAAGAAGAGACCACCTATTTATTATTATCACCGCAATCCTACGCTAAGTAGGTACCTAGGTACCATACGCAGTGAGATTTGGCTTGCTACATTCACCGAATTACAATCACGTGATTCTTACACTGCCACAGGATATGTTGGAATGTGCATGGCAATTATTTTTGGAAGTGAATCCACTTAGTATGATTTCAATCCTTATATATCAAACTGCAGCCCAGGCTTTAAAACAAGTTGTTTGCTGATTGCATGAGAGCAGCAGTAGGCATACGATCAAAACAGCTACAGATATAAGATTGGTTAGATGCCAATTCTGTTAGAACCTCATAAAAATATGGTTTCAAACGACTCTTTAACATATAAGTACTGTGAAAAGAATCAGGAATCTATTCGAAATTCCTACTATCCTTGAACCTATGGTCTGTGAATGATACTCGAGGTATCGGTGGTCGCTACTAGTGATGCTACTCTGAATTGATTGACAAATCAAACAAACAAAAGTGTGAACAGGGGATTGGTGCAATTTTAAGCTTAAAGAAAGGCTCTTATTACCCTCAACTAGCGCTAGTCACTATTATCATCGCTTTCCATATCCTCCACCATTTCGACGAGCCGCATATCAGCATAACGTGGACGCCACTCCTTTCGAGAAACATGACATTTTGTGTGGTATTGGCCATAATGAATGCACGTGTAATAACACCAATACTTTTCTGTCAAAGAAAAAAAGTTTAAGCACCATGGCATAATGAGATCTTTCTCGGAGATCGATTCCATGGCAATTTCTTCTTCTGGCCACGACTCCGGTATGTCGATTTTATCTGAGCATTGAAGACGGGCATGGCTGATAGCCTCAGAAATATAGTATGGGCTTGCAGCTAGTTCCGCTGACAGTTCTATAGTATTCAAGTAGGAGTAATCATCACCATTAAGCAGGCGCTGCAGGAATTCTTCCCGTGCGTTCTCGATCGTGTGGTATTGTAAGCCTTCCATCAAGGTAGAAACTCCTATTAAGGTCTCTTCGTCATACAACTCTTGAATTATTCTTTCATTCCATCCTATCTGAGAAAGCATTTCAAGGAGGTGCTTCCAAGCTCCGGTTTGAATAGCGTAATTGACTGCAGTGTAACATAGGACCGTACGAGTGAAGGAATCATATGTGAGATCATTTCACCTTCGTTCAATTTATGACCTTGCTTGATCAGTATCTCGAGCCGACTGCTGCAGCAATAGATAAATTCTTCTCTGCTTCTTGGCCCACTGTAATCGTTGATGAATTCCAGGACTAATACCAAAGATGGATTTTCTCCACCGAGAATTCCAGTACAAAGTCTGGACACTCCCTGGTCAGAGATTAAGATATATCTACACCTCTATCTAGAGCAGCCTCCAATCCATCTCCTTGAGGATTCTCGAAAAGTTGACGGCTATTCTCAAAATATAAACCGGGATGGCTTGGGAACTCGTGGCAGTTCCAGTCAATCAACGGTTCATAATTTCTGAGGTGCATTATTCGCCGACTTTGTTCTGGCGACAAATGATCCGTATGCAACAGCAAAAGAGGCATGTCCGGGTCCTGGAGAAGGCACTCCTGCGAAGATTCCAAACATAGATGCGTAATCTCATCCATTGACTCGTTTGCCTCGGAAATGCTGTCATGCAAGAAGAAAAGAAACACATCAATATTGTAATATCTATTGACTTGGTACCTAAGAACAAATACCATCCATTCAATATATAGATCGTTGATCGCAAGACCTATCTCCCACTCTTCAAATCGCAGTAAATCGTCAAAGCCCTCGATTCCATCCAGTGGGGAAGCTCTTCCTTGTTCAATTAATTTTCGAGCCGTGTCGACGTCAAATTCCATGGCTGCTTTATGAAATTTACTACCCTTCGCGTGAATGTAATACGGTCTAAGGGAAATAAAACTTTCGCGAGAATAAGGTACACTAGGCATCTCATATCGCAGATCGAGACCCCTTCTCGCCCAGGATATCTTGAGGAAGATAGATACTGAAGTCGAAGATAGATCGCATGAGCCCGAAGATGACCTTGAGAATTAATATTGACCATTGGAATACGATGAGACTGAGATGGATACATCAATCCCGAGGAACCTGTAATTGTAGAATGTTGACGAAATGAGGTTCTTTCCTTTCTTCCTCCGCTGCATCTTATCGGGTGTTGATGGAGCATGGTAAAACGTCGGCGTAAAATAACATTGAGTTGAGCTCGAAAGAGACACAGCGACATCATTCCCTGGTTTCTCTGCAAGTCTGGCTGAATGTACTGGCAAATCGCGCTGCAAACACTTGCCAACAAGAAATTGGACTTGAGGTCCAAAATCTAAACGTTGTGCTTCGATGCATTCCTCCATGGCTCCTTTTAAGCTCGCTAACAGATCCTCACGAACCTCTTCCAATGCTTTGGTAGCTATAGTCGTTGACATAATTTATACTAAGTGACTTTGACTTTTCTGCATTTCCGAGCGAAGTGTTTCTGTTTGCTTTTGCTATGCTGTTATGATTGCATCTCTCGAATCATGAATAACATGCGGAACTGCCATAATGTTGGTACTCATCTCCTTCAATAAGTCACTTTGTTCGAGTTGAATAATTCTGAAGAAGTCAGTAAATGTAAGTAATAGGTAGTGAGTATTTCTTTACATACCTTGACAAATTTTGTTGGACCAGCGTAACTTGTTGTGTGGTACTATCAACCCACTGCATCAATTCTTTAATCTCTTCTTTATTTGCGGCATATTTCAGTCGATTCCAGAATTGTTTCCACTTATTCTTGGAGCCCGTCGCTGAATTGCCAAAAATTTCTGCGGATGAAGAGAGCTTGTTTTCGACAGATTTAATGGCTTCAAGCATATGTGCTCCAGCCGCAGGTATATCCTGCAATCCATAATGAGTTTTTAGTTGTTCATGCTGTCGTAGAACTTCGGTCGAGCTCTCTTCGATACTTTTTATACACTCCGCAAGCCTTATGATGTCTTTAGGTGCGTTTTTAATGTCGCCGATGATTTCTTTGACGACCTTACAGCCACATGCGATTTGTCCGATAAATCCTACCACCCCTGTAACACTTGCGATGCCACCGACAGCTTCCACGAGGTTGAAATGATGCAGCAATGGTCTTTCTCTCTATATGTCTTGCTATTGTGGGAAGGATAATGTGCTCGGTTTCCAAAAAACGTGTCTGTCAATTTATATCAAAGCTGAGCGCACAACGATGGTTGCATGCTATCCATCTGACACATTATGATGCACTATCAGAGAGGCACTGGAGGTAAGCGCTACAGGCACTCGCGCAATCTTGACCCAATAGTTTCAACCACGGCTAAGTACAATGAAACACGACATGCGCAAAAGCTGACAAGTTATTCAGTGATTGGAAATAAAATGCATGGTGATATGCCGACTTCTGGAACACAGCCACTTTCCCATTCATGGTCCAGAGGCAGTGCACTCTGACATTCAGCTCTCACCTCCTCAATCCATTGGAACATTCAACTGGATCGAAATACTTCATTCATTTCCATCAATGAGATGATTTCAAACGTTAACAGCTTAGATTTAGCAATCAGTGTTATTAGATCTTGCATCTGTGGATTTGATGGGGTCATTATTCTGATCGTGGGGTAACTCAATGATTCTAGTAACTCCTGTCGACTGATAGGAAAGTCGTCATAGGAAACCGAACGGGTGTGTACTACAAAATCAAAATTAGCAATAATAACAATGAACCGATAACAATAGATGATGGTATTGCATGCGATTTCCTATTCATTATATCTCTCTCGCATATATTCTCAAGTATCAAATTTGCCTAAACTCATTGGTCGCATGCTATGATTTTCAATAATGAGCAAGATTTGCTAGTAATATTAAATGACGCATCCTGAACTATTGAGTATGACTATATACATATATACACACCTCGAATGCGCTACTTACCAAAGATCAGCCTCGAGAAGAATGTGAGGTACTTCAGTCGAGCCGGTTGGCATTGAAAAGGTTACATTCCAATACTCAAAATCATTAATAGTGGCACCTGTGCCGCCATACTCTCCTGCGTAAGACAAGGTATAGTTCATGTCAATTGTACCAGACACGTTCAGACTCAATCCTTGTATATCTTCGATGCTTGAAATAGTCCTCTTCGCGGCAAATGGTGAAACCAAAAAGGTAAATATTGAGGTACCATTTCCTTCCGGATAAGTCAAATTCAACGAACCACTACCAGCTTCGGCAATCACATGCATCTCTGTTGCATAGAGCGTGAGCCAGCCAACTCCATTTCCAGTATTCCATTGCATAAGAGCAGGGTTAAAAGTGCCTTGATTCTTAGCAGGTCCACCTATAACGTTTTCGTTGAATGTTTCAGCGCCAATGCTGATATTGTTTGCAAGCCAAGCAGTGATATTGCGAGGATAGTAGTCGAACGGCGGCGAATAGGTTGAAGAAGTAAATGTGTGCTCTCCTTTGAAATTTAAAAGGGCATCTGTCACATTTGCTGGTATTAAACTATTGTGGAATTCGGACAATATTGCGAATAATGGACCGTAAGCAAAATCAGCATTGTGTGACATAATATACGGCTTGTCGATGATTGAAGACTTTGACTTCCCTACAGCGTTCCAGATGTGGAGTGCCAGAAGGCTCAAATATCTCGTCATATCAAAACCGTATGAACGGTCCCAAGGGCCAGCAACATTCAGAAGTTGAGGATGCCACAGATCAGATACTGCTTCCCAAGTATACTGAATCATCGAAGCACCTCTTTGTTTCATCACAGAATCTTTTGGCAGATACTTAGCCCACAAACTCATAGCGAACAAAGATACGCCAGTGTAAGTGCCACTATTGAATTCCGAAAGTGTGTTGGCTCGGTCAAACAAGCCAACGATTTGTTGAGCATAATTCTCGCCGGCGGTTGTCATATTACTGTCGTTAAACCGACGACCAGTCCATCCGGAAACAAAAGCTCTCATTATGGACTAGTAGTTGATCAATAAAAAGGATTCATCATAGGCTGGGTGATGCACTTACAGGATTGGTGTAAGCAGGATACAAATTATCGCCATCTACTCCACCGACACGATAACTGTCACCTACAGTCGAATTGTACAATGATTCCAGCATCAGACTAGTCACATTTGGCGAGATTAGGAAGCCAAACTCCTCAAGACCAACAATAAAGGCTGTTCCGATGAACCCACGCCAGTTTGGATCCCATGAATTGTATATATTCGGCGCATAATATGAGCTTCCCACTTCTGGCTCCTCTGGTTCCTTCTGATAGTCCCCATACCTAGAGTTTTCAGTCGACACCTCATACCACTGGATACAACTAAACTCACCACTGCGCTTCAGGGTCTTTGAATTGACCGCCAATAACATTGGAGATTATCTTTTCGGCTTCGGACACATCCGAGCCTTGGTTCCTTGCCAAAAGTCCAATGGCGTACCATGCTGAACTTCTAGTATCGTGCCTCAACGCAGAAGCTCCACTCATTTCAAAAAGATAGCCAGCATTGTCGTCGTATGCCCGATCCAGATAGTCCATAGATTCATTGAAGAGTCCTTGGGCATTTTGTGGCAAAGTACTAACATACGATCGAGCCTTAGCAGTCGAACGGGCGAGGAAAAACAATGTAGCAACACTTGAAAGACGCATTTTGAAGACAGTCATGAACAGCGGTACTCCTCAATGAAGATCCATTGCATGTATATATACGTTGAATACCTTATCATTAATAAGATACATAGATGGGGGTATCCAGCCCGGTGGCCGCGGGGTAAACTGAGGGGCCGGGAAATTCACATCATCGATACGCAGTCAAGATTCCATTCAGGTCATAAACTCCGGAATTGTGGATCAATCATTGAAGGTATCTGTCGGTGAATGATGTAACGTTAACACATTGATCGTAGCGGTATACGGAGTATATAGATAGCGAGTCATCAAGTAACACTGAACTACTCATAGTTGGGGTCGCCCTGTTCTGGAGATATTGAAGATGTTGTCGTTGCCGTGGATGATAAGGATACTCCAATGGATATAGTAATCTATAATATCATTGAAGTGGGTGGTAGTTTGGTTCGAAATAAGGTTTTGAGTAAGATTACCCAGGCAAGGTTGTAATTTTCCAAAAATTATACTCAAAGATCTCATATTTTCGTTGATGAGTAAGCACACGCGCACGGATCCACCATGATTTGTATCGTATGATACAATTTTTATGAAACCAAACCCCTTCATCACTGTCATCGTCGTCGACAAACTGTATTCATCCAAAGTTTGAAGATCTTCTTCTCCATCTAAACCATTGATACGGACAGGAGTACGGCAAGACCACCACCACGCCGGAACTTCTACACCATCCATTCCATTCAATATTCAGACTCTTTCTCATACTCGAAGACCCCTGCAGTTTGAGCGAGCATTTACGGAAACTAACATGTAATATGATACCCACCACCACAAACCCACAGCACAGGAAACCCGCCACCAGGAAATTTCTGGCACCTCCTGTAAAAGTGGCATGTCTAGAATGGTAACGTTATCTTTCACTAGTATCGTTAGAAGATGTTTACCAACGTAATGCCAGTCGTGCTGCACGCACTCGATGCAATGGTAAAACACCGTGTGCAAATGTGAGTGATACTTTGAAATGTTGAAAATACATTAGTTAATGTCACCAGTGTGCCAATCGAGGTTGTGATTGCGTCTATACACCGAGCAAGAGGGGTGGTGCAAGAAGACGCAAGAAGAACACCAACAGCGAAGGTCGTATAGAACAATCGCCACCAAATGAGCTCCGTAAGTAACCAAGTATTTGCCAAACATTATTCTGACCTGTTATTAGTTACTGGTCCTGCCCCGGTGGTTTCATTGGCCACCCCCGGCGCTGGTCTTCTCCAAAGAGATGAACAATTGGACTTTGATATGGACTTCGCATTTGACCCAAACATACAAGGGAATCAAGAACCTGTAGCATTGAACGATGAATTCTTACCACAAAATGTGCTAGAAGATTCCTTTCAAATGGGGGCAGAAATACCTCTAGTAAGAACTTATGCTAACGATGAGGACATGTAAGTTCTGTCAGCAGGTAAAAACATTGAGTAACATGACTGACCAAATTTTGTCACTGTAGTTTGAGCGCATATTATGTTTACATCCATCCGTATTTCCCTGTTCTTCCACCCCCTTTGATCAACCAAGCTGTTGATAAAATGGAAACCGGGGTACAAGGACCAAGCGATATCCTATTCCATAGCAGAAGCAATCCACAATTTCAATCTGCTTCCCCAATGACTCTTGCGATCTCTGCACTTCTTGCACTAATTCCACATCCTGACGATCCAAGCCCCGCATCTCCAGAATCTATCATACTACGTCGAAATCAAGCGCAGGTCTTCGCTCAGTTGGCGATTGATGGCGTTGAGATTGAGAATGAGATGATAGAGTCTATAGTGGACCCTGGGGAGGCTCTAAGCGCCCAAGAGATGCAGATATATCGCACAAAAATCCACCCGCAAGTAAGGTTGGAGACGGAGAGTACAATCGCATTGCTGCTACTCTGTACTTATGAATATTCCCAACGAGGAAATATTTCGAAGATGCGCAAGAGGTGTGGACAAGCTTTGGTATCTGCCATGGACTTGGGATTACATTCAAAGGATAAAGAGGATTATGTATATGCTGAATCAGATAGACGAGTATGGTGGATGACGGTATGATTACAAGCTGCGGTTTACATTTACCTTCAGCTCCAACGCTAACTTCTGGAAAGTACGTCTGCGTTTGTCAAGGCTCTATACTGAGTTGCATGGTATTTATTGCTCTTCAAGCGCATATTCCTTCATGTTTTGACCAAAGCTATATAGGCGCCCTCTATTCTTCTTTCCGATCCAAGATTCACGACACCACTTCCAACCTTTGGATCTGATTCGGATGTAAGTGCAAATGCACATTTTGATTTCTAAAATTACAGCAAGCTAAGCGCAAAAATCTAGGCTTGGGATGTTTTTCTTGAAGCACAAAGAGTGATTGCCACAGCGACACAATTTGTGATTGATCTCGAATCATCATTAAAATCAGAATCTCATGATCTGAAACTCTGGGAAACAATGACAGGGTTAGAAAGAACCATTGAGCCGCTGGTTCAAAATGCAGAAAAGTGGTCCTATGGAAATTCGGATGATATGGAACCATCAGAGAGCGTCGTCGCAAAAAGTCTGCGGATGATGACACGTATTAAGCTGAATAGGTACACCCTTGGGTTTTTCCATTTTGGTGCGGTGATAGCTAACTGTCCTTGAAGCGCGAGGATTAAGATCCATCGATATTGTGCGTTCTCCGATATGCCAGTCTTCACAAAGAAGCATTGTGACTTATCTTCCACCCCTTCTGTTGGGCAAAATCCAGGTACCGCCTGCAGTTGTAGCAACAATTTACAGCAGGCCACAGCGACTTTGACGCTCAGCCCCGGCATTTTAAACTCTCCGATACCTGATGATATTTCTGTTTTCGACTCTCCGATCTTGCCATTCAGTGGTCGATTTTCGTCAAAGGTATGCATGCAATCCGCATTCAACATTGCCCAATCCTTCCGTGCTTTGCCATTGCCACGGCCTTCAGATCCAAGGAATGTTTCCTACTGGAACAGCACTAGACAAACAAATCTACCTCGCATGATGCCAATATTTGCCTGCTGCAGTATGCAAGCAAGCTATTCAATGATTATGCTTTGTCACAAGACTCTTGCAATCAAGCAAGCTAGTTCACTCGAAGATGGACTCAGGAGGAGAACCGATAAACTGTTATTTCAATTGCACGAGGGCATTAAAATGATTCTGGATGCCCTGGAGAATTACTCTACTGCTAATGAAGCTTTGAAGGGAATGCGAGGTAAGTCTACTAGTTGCGATAATGTGTCAGGAAATCACTGACCAGAGTCACCTCAAAGATCAAATACGTATGGCGGTGGATTCCGTTGCGGCTGTTCAATAACAATCCTTGAACTTCCTTTCCATTGGTGGTTGAATAGTACAATACACAAATTTTATGCAACTCTATTGGGAATCATGTTCATGGAACTGAGTCGATAGTCTTTTGGCAAGTCAATTTGAACCAATGTAACATGATCTGTACCTAACCGGCGTGGGAAAATTCGAACCTCAAGATTGATTGCTCTTAAGAGAAGTATCACTTTGATTAACATTTGATGATTTTTGTCTTCATCGGTGGGTATCAATTTTTCAGCTCCAGGCAGCTTTCTAAATTATCCATTTCCGCCTAGGATTTGAGCTGACTGGTGAGATATGATCTATTCCTCGCCATACCGCTAAACATAATTCACCTCAAATCTCTTAAATGCAATGTCACTGCATGAATTTGCTATCGTGGGCATCACTTATCTGGCATACCCTGGAAAAAAAATTTCAACTTGCGGGGCGGTGTCAATCTAGGTTAACCTGAACATTGTTTCGTGGTAAGACTGACATTGTTCTTTCATTTATTGACATATCATCAGAAATCTCATCATACAATAGAAAATCCGTTAAGATCATTCAGTTTTCTATTCGTAGATTCCTCATCAATACTCCTCTTCGGTGTCAAAGATATTTCCCGTAGGCTTCTCCTCACTTGGCCATAATTTGACAAAATCTTTCAAAGTGTGTTGCCACTCGTCATCCCAATCACCATCGGAGCTGTTTAAACATTAGCATTCTTTACAACACAGCCCTCATTGAAAGTTATACGCACAATAGACTATATCCATCCCCCGCCAGCATTTTCGCACGCATAAGAATAGCCGCGACAACAGCATCGTATCATTTTCGCGCGGTTTTACAAAAGTTAAAGCCAAAACTTTTATATTGGGTCAATTTGGAATCTTCATGCTCGTCTTGTCCCTTTATAAAAATCCCGCGTTCGATGGTGGGGAGATAATAGCCATCTGTTTCGTCGAGGAGAGTGGCGCTTCTTTCGAGGGTCTTGATGATGAGGTTTGCGTCGGAAATTAGTTGGGGCCAGACTTTGGACCATGTGGTTTGGTCTTTAACCTCCCAGTAGTGTGTGTAACTGGGGCGTGCAATGTATTAGTGATACACTTGGAGCAGGGTGGATAGAGAGAGAACAGCCATAGGGGAAAATGCATTATGACCTACCCCATATTGATGAAGTGTGTTTGGAGTATTCTAAAGTTGGTATGTCGAGTAAATCATTCAATATTCTTTATTTGTAGAAAAATTCCAAGCATAGAGAGGTTTTATCAAACTTATATATTGATGACAAACTCGCGGTTGCAGCATACTGTCTAGAAAATGGATGTTGGGAGACGCGTTGGTGTTGGAATATTAGGCAACAGGGGGCGCAGTATCGCGATATGTATGCGAAATCATATGACCTTTGTCTGGGCTACCCAATGGACCACATGGGGAAAATCAAACGCCGCGGCTGAATTTCAAACTATTGTCACCGAGTAGGTTGTTTGGATAAGCGCGTTCACAGAGCTGAATTGGAAGTACTATGTCGCTTGTAGATTGGCTAATACATACGGAGAGCCTACCAAGTAAGAGTTGGATATTTGAGCTTCTTATTGAAATGACACATTTACAGGCAGACAAATGGTAAAGCACATCTAACCGGCTCTAGCATAATGGTTTACTTTTGATGTGTATCAAGTCTATTCAGTTTCTATTTACCGGACTCAGTGAGTTGGCATTTGAGGGTGTTCGTGTTGGAATGGGCATTGTCTATCTGATTTTGACGAACGTCACAGAGTTCAATCTTTACCTATTATTCTTATGACAATAGTATTAGGTTTAAAGTTGTATATTCATGGACGATCCAAGTCGTCACTTATGCATTGAGTAGATTTTCTGATTTTTTGTCAAAAAATAGCGCTATTCCATCTATGTTTACACAACAACAATGCCGGCTTTCAGTTTCTTAATTGACGGCGATGGAATCTCTCCAATACTTTCTAGAATCATGATATTCAACTTGGACATGCAACCATGTATAACAAGACTTTCATATTTTCAAAGACACCCCGTATTCAACAAATTGGCAGACCTACTTATGATGAGTAAGTTCAATGAATCATCCTTCGCCGCCTCCCATCACTAGCAATCTCAATGAAAGCAACACAAGCCGTACCCCGATTACTCAATCAATCATTTACAACTCAACACAACTCAACTCTAGCCCAACCAAGAACTCACCTAGCAATTCGTAGCTTTCGCACCAAGCGCGTCCATGCATACATCATCTTCCCATCCACGGTTCCTCCCGCATCGCTTGCCCAAAATTAGACCATCCGATTCCACATCTCTCATCCTCCATATTCCAACCTCCATCAAATTCCAAAGAAGTTATTCCTCGTATCCACACTCAATTCTTCCATCCTCGCATCCAACCACAATCTTTTAACATCCACCCTCAAACAAAGCGCTTACACACAACCGCTTATTAACACACTTGCGTTTCTTCGCGAAATGATTCCCGGTTCCTCGATCCTTCGTGCTACGATGACTAAAAAATTGTGCGGTCGCGGTTGTGATGTCAGCAAATCTGCTAGGGTGAGATATAACCTTAAATCCTTATGGGATTTTGAGGTCCGTATTAGCGGGCAATTTTGCTTGTGTGGTTGTGTTGAATTGATTCCTTCTCGTACTGATGATTTTTGACCCCTGTTTTTCATAGTGAAATCGACTGGGAAGATTTCTATAGTTGGGGTTTGGTGGATTCTGTGTTAGGTTTTGGTGTTAGATGATGGAATTATGAAGTTATTGAGTTGCAGGAAAGCTCATGTGTGTATTTGATGTTTTGGAGATTATATATATATATGAGGTCTGAGGGAGAAATTTTGTATCATCATTCAATAACAATTCGCTCTCTTTTCACTTCATTCTTTCTTTCATACTCTCGTTGAATACAGTCTTTACTTTTTGATTTATTTCACTATTTTCGATATCATAAATCATCTAAAACTTATCATCAAAATGTCTTCTAAATTCACCATTCCCCAATTACTCGTTCTCCTCCCCTTCCTCGGGCTCGCCATCGCTGCCCCAGCTCAAAAGACTACTACCAAAGCAACATCTGCCACTGCAACCATCTCCGGTACTAAGTCTACCGGTACTGCAACCGCTACTTCTACCTCTGCAGCCCTTGGAACCGGTCTCTCCGCCAATTTGAAGCCCACCTGTGCTCCTGGTGGAAACATTGATCTTTCAAAATGGACTCTCCAACTCCCCAGCGGTACCCAAGGGCATCCTGACTCTGTTACCGGTTCCAAACTCGCCGGTTGCAGCGGATACACATCGAAAGATTATTTCTACACCAATACCGACGGATCAATCGTCATGAAAGTTCCAGGCGGCGTATCAACCGGCTGTGTCACCACTGCCAACTCCAAGCATTGCCGCACTGAGCTCCGCGAAGCCAGCCCTAGTTCCTGGAGTCCAGGTTCTGCAAGCAACAAACTCAGTGCTACTCTTCAAGTAGTCACTGCTGATGATTCTGCACACGGAACGGTCATTGGTCAAATCCATATCGATGATAGTGTATCTTCCAAGCCTGTGTGCGAGTTATTTTATAACTCCAAGGGAGTTATTTCGATGGGTGTTGAACAAACCAGAGATGGTGGTAATGAAATTGTTACCCAAGTTGGTAGTGTGGCTGTTGGATCTAAGTTCTCTTATGAAATTGCTTACGAGGGAGGCAAGTTGAGTGTGGCTATTAATGGGGGTGCAGCAAAGACATTGGACACTTATCAATTGGATAGCCCAAAGAGCTACTTCAAAGCTGGTAACTATAACCAAGGAAACAGCAAGTCTGAGGTGCACTTCTTTGCGATTGATGTTCAACATTAAATGAGTTGCTTAAGAGAGGTGGCGATGATTGAGTGTTGATGATGGGAAGTGTGTGCTGGTGGATTCTGGGGACGATGAGTGTTTTGTTCTTGCATTTTCGATCTTTGGGTTTTATTCTTATTTCTTTTGCCTCTTTCGCCTCTTTTCGATCAAGCTTTGGGTTCATAGGTAGACTGCTAGCAGTTGTATTGTAGTCAGTTTCGGAAAAGTAACAAATATATCTATTTTCCGGCACGCATTCTTCTCAAAGAACATCTTTTATCAGACTTTGAAGCCGATTCCGTTGATTTTGGAAAAGAGAAATATCTCTTCGACAATTTTCAACTGAAATAAAGCCCATGTGACTTCTTCTTCGACCCCAATAATTTGAACAGCCTGCTTCATAACTTATGTTGACTACAACATCCTATTATGATCACCCTGAGTTTAGCAATAATGTAGCATTTCGTGAAATAAGGGTCGAGCCTTTTACTACGACCACAATATCGTATCTCCGATCCCATGGAATTTTGATCTATTCTCTAACTGTGGTAGCAGGTAATAGAATTTCTAATCCCGAACTTTACCCAAGTCTCAGAGAGGATGACCGAGGAAGAGACATTCTATTTCATAGGCGTACCTTTGATTGTGAAGTTTTGCTTTGCATAAGGGGGTTGTTATGGGTCCTTGGATAGATTTAACAAGTCCACGGGTAGCGTGATCTTCCGCCTAGAAGCCACAAATGGGTTAGCCACACCAATGTTCATACTCCCCACATTTTATTTAATTGTATTATATTTTTTAAACTCGTGGTCTTTGTCAACAAACACAACAAAATGTGACCATTCGAGCCTACTCGAACAACTCTCGGTCGTCTAGTTGGTTTATGACGTCAGACTGTAATTGCACATTGTAATCTGGATGTCGCGTGTTCGACTCACGCCTGAGAGACTTTCCTTTTGCGATTTTCACCTGCATCTCTCAAGAGGGGTGATAATATTCACATATCATTTTGGAGAAGAGAATCCTTTTTGCTATGTATGGGTGGAGCAAAAGCATATAAAAAAAAGAGTGAGAAGGCGGGGCACTTGAAGAGTGGGGTCATGACTGAGCATCAGTTTTAAATTTTGAATGGATCATCATTATTCTCTTCTCCTATCTGTAAGTTAAAAGGAAGTTTCAATTTCAAGAGATTAAGAACCGTGTACAATCCCATTTGCTTTTACTATATACAACTCCAGTAATTAATCTCTTCTAGGAAAACAAGTATATCCCCAGTATCATTTTTGGAGCAGTCTCAAAAGTCACGTGCATCAAAGACTGGGTAAAATTCTTCGTCTCTTCTGCTCTGCTACCTCGCTCCCCTCTTCCTTTATCCACTTACCATCTGTACATTTGTACGACTCTGTCCAGCAGAAAATCTTACATTACATGCCAAGGAGTCTGACTGTGAGCACTCCACTCCACTTCTCTCCAAACCAAAAAAAAACTCTTCCCCAACGTCAAAATTCACAACACCTCACCGTCTTCGATATTCAGACACAAAAATGGCAAAAGGTAATGAACGGATCTGTTCTTGATCTTGGACTAGCGGCGAATCGAACGCCGGACCTCTCCCATGCTAAGGGAACATTATACCACTAAACCACAAGCCCGTTTTTTGATAGTATACAATCGGAAAAATAATATATGTACTCCCGACAACCGTTGCTTTTGAAATCGTTTTTCGTAAACCGTTTTCCGTAAACGCACATAATATATTTTCAATTTTTTTTAAAATAATTTTTTTTAATATAATTTTTTTTAATATAATTTTTTTTTAAAAATAAATTTTTATTGTTTTATAGGAAGATAATAATCAAAATTTTTTTTTTTTAATTATATTAAGAATGTGAATACTCAGTATAATATTCTGTATATTATTATTATTATTTGAATATTTTTCTTTTCTTTTTTTTATATTCAAATTTACAACTTTTATTATTGGAGGTTTACCTCCTTAATATTCTTATCGCTCGCGAGGGCCGAAACTGTATTTTGTATTGTAGACACACGAAAAATGAGAAACCTCGCTTAGTGAGACGCGATTCAAGCAATCTGATTGGCTTGACTTCCTTGGCATTGTGGCTATAGCGTAAGCGTTCAACAAAATTATCTATATTGTGAGCGAAACCTTATGCTGGTCACGTGGCCTATTCTTGTAGCTAGTATTTATAGTCCTTTTTTCTATAGTTTAGAAACAGTAGTTAATTCCCACTAAATTTCTAGTATATCTTATAAAGCACTATATAGAGTCTCTCTTTTCTCTCCTTCGTTTGAGATACTATATTATAGTGACTTTTCTATAGTATATACAAAGGACTACTCTATAACCCTACTCTCTTCTACTCGTTTATAATATTAGTTTATTTAAGCTAATGTAGATTAAATAAAAAAAAGAAAATGTGGTTTCAAGGTACGACATTCAATAAGTATGTAGATCTAAAATTATCAATCTAATTTGACGTAATCCAGATATCGGTTTTTTGACTAGGTAGGGCACCCTAGCAATCTACTGCTCATCGACTTTCCTGACCATCTGCCACATTGTCATGGGCCCTAGACTTGTTGCAATCTTTGTCCACTCCTCGTCCGGTTCATCAATTGGCTCTGGTACCAAATTGTTTTCATTTACAACTGCAAACCCATGCTTCTTGTAAAGGGGGACTCCATAGACTGTTGCATCGAGCCAAATCTCAACACCCATTTCCTTTGCCTTCTCAATACCCCATTTCATTATCATATCTGCAACTCCCTGGCGGCGGAACTCCGGGTGGGTAAAAATAATATTCAAATCTTCCAATCAACTTGTTATCAGTAGAATATTCACGTGAAGTTTAGATGAGCTTGCTCGTGCTTACAGAGCTGCGGCTTAGGGGCCAGTCTCTCACGAGGAGCATCGAAACGCTGCAATGCTGCTGCAACAAAGTCTCTCTGACCTCCTTTAGGGTACCATGATACCTCGGAATGATCGTCTTCATGCTCGAAAGGATTCGTTGGACAAATTTTCCACAACGCAGCACCAACGATTTTACCAGACTCTGTGTCGATAACTTTGTGCCAATAGCTAGTAGGATCCGACTGATGCCACTGTAATTGACGAGAAGTGCATTCTTTCAGAGACTCTTCTCGAGCTGTTGGACCGGCTCCAATAATAGGGCAGAATAAACGAAAAAAGGATTGTTGGGGATTCTCATAAGAAATCCATTCACACTCAATAAGCTCCTGAAAATCCTTGATATAGTCAACGACCTTGAGTTCTAAAGGCATGCTGGCAGCGGTATGGTTGCGAAAACGAATCTCTAATTCTCAATCTTCGATTAAGGGGTCTTATATGGCCGAATGTGATGAGGGAAGACGAGACAAGCTTATCATAAAAATAGTTGTATAACCAACCAAACAAGTGAGCAATAACTGCGCCGCAAAATGTTTATCTCTAGCCAATAACCGACTTCAACCTCTTACAAATTCATTCATATTGTGTTACAACCCCTTCACCGAAGCTAGCTGTTTTTACTGTTTGCAAGTCTGCAGCATTCTGCCTGTGCCGCAAACTGATAGGGAAGGTAGTGGTAGGGAGGGGGAGGAGATTTCGGAGTATTGCGACTAACATTACCTTTGGTATGCATCGCCCTGCCTTTGGGATTTATTTGCGTGTTTGTCTTATCAAAAGTGTACGAGTATTTGTCACTAGCTAATACTTAATAGTGGAGCCGTTTCCGAACTTTCTATCCTGTCCACTTTCGAAATCAAGTCGATTTTCATCATGAATCGGACGCAGGTTTTTATCACTGATACAAACAAGACTCCGCTGATAGAACTGTTTGTTTGGGTCCCATTATCAATTTCATGCCTTGGAGTGGCTGCTCGGCTGGCTACAAAGATAGCGATTTTCAAAAAATTACACTTGCAAGATCATCTAGTCTCTATATCTCTTGTAAGAGGCCTAGCTTAGCAATGCGCTAAATCGACCTTGCTGCTGACTTTCGATCATAGCTTCTAGCAATTGGTCAATCAATTGCAGTCACCATACAGTATTCGAACGGTTACGGTCAACACCTCTCTACACTGAGCACCTCTCATCAAGAAGGACTATTAAAAGTAGGTGTTGACTTTTTGATCTTCGAAGACAGAGCTGACAATGTTTATCATAGGCCGGATATGCCGCAAACCTACTATTTATTGCCAGCTTGTGTTTTGTCAAACTGTCGATCGCCTTATTCATTGACAACTTGACGCCAATCACTCGAGAAAGACAGGCCGCCAGAGTCATTGGGTTAATAATATTGCTATGGACGATCTCTTCAATCTTCTCTTCCGCTTTTCAATGTTCGGTGCCTAGGCCTTGGGATAGAATCAATGGATCGTGCATCAACCAAGTGAGTGTGGCGGTCCGCTGCGCCAGAGTAGACACTGATGAAAGTAGAAAGCGTTTGGGAATTACTATGCGGCTGTGAATATCATAACAGATTTTAGTTTGATTTTGATGGTTGTAGCTATTGCAACTCACATTCAAACCTCTCGGCTCAGAAGATTTGCCATAATGGTCATCTTTGGCATTCGGATATGGTCAGTACAAACCTTTCTTTCTAGGTCTGTATCACTGGTTGACAGGAAATAGTGTCATTGCGGCAACTGGTGTTCAAATCTATTATTTGAACAAACCCTCAAAAGATCTAGCCTTTGACCCATGGCCAGAAGCAATTATCACACAGAGCGTCCTGTGTCTCAGTATTCTTACTGCTTGTCTTCCATATCTGTAGCCATTCTTGAGCAGCCTAGAGTCTGGAATGATACGTGCGGACGATCTACGGCGTCGGGGTCAAACGGATATCGCCGTATACAATCATTACCCCCAAAACAAATCAGATAGCTCTGGCAGCAAGAAGTCGAAGGTGAAGAACATCCTCAGCAACACTTTTCAATCCCAAAGCCGTGTCAGCACGGGCCACTACAAGCTATCAAGTATTTCGCCAGAAAATTCTCATTTTCAACCAGTGGCAGTAACGGTCATATCTGGAGCTGAAAGTGGGGCTTGGGATAGGCAAAGTCGAGAAAGCCAGACGAGTCAAACTAGGATTATTAGAGAAACGCGGAGCTGGAACGTAGAGTTGCAAAATACTGGCCTTGCTAGATAATGAAACCCTAGATAGAGATGCCTTTAATCTGAATATCAAGTATGCGTATGTACAAGAGCCCTGTGATTTGTTTCGTTCTGATTCCATGTTCTAGAATATCAAAAATTATCGCCACAATCATGTCCCGTTGTATTTTTAGTAGTTCTGTAGGATTTTGTTGTATAATTAGTTTTCTTTTCAAGGATGCCTCATTACATCTGTATGTAGATATAAATTATGGGCGTATCTGTGGCTGCTAATTCCTACCCTGATATATCTAGTATCTACCAATAGATACAGGGTTCAGTGCTGCGCCGCAAAAATGAACAATGGGCAATCAAGTTGTACCTTGCAAGCACGCATTAGAAAAACCATACATTTCCCACTTATCTACTCGCGAAGAGCGTCTTTTCCAGCCAAGCCTTTTCCCCATTTTTTATATCCTTTTCTTCTTTAGTATTGGAGTATTGACTTGACTTATTGTAGTTGTTTTCTAAACCGTTCTTCTAACTAGGGAAATTCACGAACTAAACACATCTTCAAATTGGGCGAGCAATTCCTGAACACATGATGGAGCCCAAAGGTGGTAAGAGTTCGGCGACGGTAGAGCTTGGAAGCATCGAAAATTTGAGAGAGGTGTCCCGTCGTCGAACAGAAGACAAAGATCGAAATGAATTGGTCCGATTGAGAAAAAATCCAGTCCTCAAAGTTGGTTAGGGCTCATTTGATTACAAAATCCGCGCTGAATCTATTGAAATAATCCGCTCTTTATGCTATTACAGATTTTGTTATAATAATAATTCATTTCAAAAAGAATAGATTATTGATTTATGATTTTATAATTTATATATCAAATCCACTAAATAATTTATAGTTTTTCTAAAATATTCAATTTAAATTTTAATTTGATATTAAAAATCATATAAAAAGTTTTTATAAATAATAATTTTAAAAAAGTATTTAGAATTATAAAAAAAATATATTTTGATTTTATTTTATTTTATTTTTTTTTTTTAAAAAAAAAATTTATTTTAAAGTATTTTTAAAATTATTTTTTATAATTGTTTTAATAGCTAATAATATAATTATTATTTAAAATATTTTGAAAATATTTAGAAAATCGAAAACTATTAATAATGATAGTAATCAAAAGTTTATATTTATATAAAAAAGAAATAAAAGTTTTTAAAATAAAATTTAAAGTTTTTTTTTAATTTGTTATTCCAAACAAAAATCTAAATCTATAGTAAAAACAAATAAATCTCAAAATCAATTTCGAAATTGTAATATTTTTTTTTTATTAGAAATTTATTATTTAATTTTTTTTATAATAATAATATTTTTTTTAATTAAAAGAAAATATCTTTTTCAAAAAAGAAAAGTTATATATAAATATTTTATTCAAATAAAACTTATTTTAATTATATCAATTTATAATATATAATAGGATTCCAAAATTAATAAAATATTCTTTATAAATATTAATATAAATAATAATGAAAATAATAATAATAAAAGGGATAATAATAATAACTATATTATTAATCAAAATTCAAAATATAATATTTATAATAATTCAGAAAGTAAAGAGAATCTTTTTATTAATATTATTGAAAAAGAAAATAAATCAATAGATTCGAAAATTGAGATTAAAAATATTTCAAAGAAATTTATAAATTAATTTAAATGGAAATCTTATAAAAAGCTTTTTTTAAGTTTAATATAAATTTATATATAAAAAAATAATTAATAATTAAATCAATTTATTAAATAAAGAATTTTTTATTATAATCAATTTATATAAACTATTTTTTTAAAATATTAATTAAATATTAATAATATTAAAAATCTAATTAATAATCAAATTAAAAAGAAATATATTAATATAAATCTTTCTCTTTTATATTATTTATTTGATTTACTTAGTTTTATTTAAATCAAAGAATATTATAAAAATATCAATATCTTTTTAAATTATTTAATTAAATATTAAATTTAATAAAAAAATAGATATTATATAACCTTATATATTTGATTATTTATAAAGAAATTTTTTATAAATAAATAAATTAATAATCAAAATATTATTAATATTAGACTTATTATATAAAAAGCTAATTAATTAATTAATTTTTTATTCGAAATTTATATAATTAATAATAAATTTATATATTATTTTAATTATTCTAATATAATTAATAATTATTTTATTAAATAAAAAGAATAATTTTATTAATTTCAATTTATTTTATATTTTTTTTAATAAAAATATTAAAAAGTAAAATAAATATAATTCTGGAATATATAAATAAGAAATTTATATTTTTGAATATATTTTATTATAATTAATTTAAAATTAAAAATAGAATAATATAAATATTTATTGCAAATTATATATTATCAAAAAAATCTTGAAATTTTTTTTTTTAAAATTACCAAATAATTTATTTTATATAAATAAATCTTTAAAAGATTTTAATAAATCAAAAATCATTTTAGTATTTTGTATATTTAAAATCAATAATCTATATCCTTTTAATATCAAATATATTATATAATATATAAAACTATTTTAATAAATATAAAACTTTAGAAATTAATATAGTTTTTAAATTTATTGATTTTTTATAATATTTACTATTTGATATATATTATTTTATAATAAACTATTAATATTATATCTATAAATTTATTTTAAACACAATTTGTTAAATAAGATTATAAAAAACTTAAAAAGTTAATATAAAAAGAAAAGAAAGGAAATTCATATATTATTTATTTTTTTATAATAAATTATAAATAAAGGGTGACTTTTAAGCTTTAATAGCTTTTGGTTTAATAATTTTGTTTTCTTTATTATATATTTTTATTGATATAATCTTTATATTTATTTAATTAGATATTAATATTATATCTTTTAATATTATTATTTATTTAATAATAATAATATATAAATACTTTTAATATCTATTTATTAGTTAAGAATATATTAAAATGAATAAATAAATATATAAAACTAAATAAATAAGAAATAATTAATAAGAAATAGCTAATAAGAAATAATAAAGTTTAGCTTTTCAAAATATAATATTTATTAATAATAAAGATTATTAACTCTATTAGTCTTCAAAGAAAAATATTATTAGTATTTTTAATAATTTATTTCTTTATATAAAATATATAATATTATAATATTATAAATTAAATCAATAATTTATTTAATTAATAAATAAAAAGAATAAAAAACATATTTTCGAAATAAATAATTATAAAGAATTTAGCTATTTCTTGAATTATTATAAAAACAATAGTATTCTATTTCCAATATTTCTTTATATATATAAATTGATTCAAAATCTTTTTAATTAAATATTGAAAAAGACCTTTTTTTAAGAATAATTCAATTGATTTTTAATACTTTTTAATCTTTTATAATACAATAATTATATTTAATTAATAAAAAAAAAAGCTTAGAATAAAAATATATTTATTTATTTTCTATTTTTTTATTGATAAATTTTCTTAGTAATCTTTGTTTTTCTTTTTTTAGATTATTTTCTTATATTTTGAGTTTTTATTTTCAAAGCTTTTTTTATATTCTTATTTTTAAAAAAAAACAATCTTTTATTTATATTTAATTTTTATTTATTTATTAATCTCTTTTTGAAATTAATATATAATATATCTTTTTTATATAATATATTTATAATTTATATTATAAATATAGAATTATTTAGAATATAAAACTTTCAAAATCTATATTTGAATTATTTTAATTTATTATAAAAAAGGTTTTAATTATTTAAGGAATTTATATCTAAAAAGTTTTAAAAATAGAATTCAAAAGAAATAAATATTGAAAATTAAAAAATTAGAAATATATATTTATAGATTTATATATTATATATTATATATTTTAATTAATTATAATACTTATTTTTATAAAATATAATTATTTCGAATTCGAAAATATTATAAATACAAATAATATATTTTTAATTATAATAAATTTTATATTGAAAATATTAAAATTTTTTTAAATTTTAAAAATCAAAAAAATATTAAGAGTTATTAAATCTAATAAAAAAAATATAAAGAAAATAAAAAGAGTATTTATAAAAGCAAAAAGCTAGAAATATATATAATCAAAAAACAAAAATAATTCCTAAAAAATTAGAAATCGAAAAAGAAAAAAATAAAAAAAATATTAGATTTCTTATATTTAAAAATATTTTATAAAATTTTTAATTATTTAAAAGTATTAAAGAATAAATAAAATAAAATAATTATATAAATTTGATTAAATATTGAAATGTAATAATCCCAATATATAAATTCAAAAAAAAATCTGATTTTAATTAATTTTATTTAGAAAAGCTTTGAAAGCAAAAAATCTTATTCAAAATAATAATAATCTTATATTAAAATTCGAATCAAATAATTCTAAAATAGATTTTGAAAATTAGAAAATTGATATTAATATAAAAAAGAAAAAGAAAAAGAAAAAGAAGGAATCTGAAAATAAAAAAGATAATAATAAAGTTAGAAAGTTTGAAAAAGTTGATTTAAAAGATTTAAATATTAATTAAGAATTAAAATAAATATAAAGATAATTCAATATTTATTGATTCTTTAAAATATTAATAAATAAATTTAGATAATTAGATTTTCTAGAATTTTAATTTGAATTAGAATTTGGAAAACTAATATAGAATAATTTATAATTAATTTAAAAAATCTAAATAATAAAATTAATAAAAAATCTTTGGATTTTATATAAATAAAAAATTTATTTAAAAAGATTTATTTATTTTATTTTTTCTCATTATTTCTTTCTAATTATTTTTTATTTTCTATCTTTTATTTATTATTTTTTCAAATTATTAATATATTAATAAAATATATTTATATTCTAATAAATTTTTTTATAAAATATTCAATTATTAATAATATATTATTTAAAGAAATTTTGTTTTTTGAAATTCTAATATTTTGAAACTAAAAGAAAAATATAATATTAAATTTTTTGGATTTAAAAAATAATAAATCTTTAATAAGAATTATAATTCAAAAAGATATAGATTTTAGATTTCTAAAAATAGAATAAAATATAAGTAAATTTGGAATCTATTTTATTATATAAAATAAAAAAAAGATTTATTTCAATTTTTGAAAAAATTTGAAAAAATATTAGAAATTTCAATAGAAAATAATAATAAATAAAGAAACCCTAATAATTATTTTTTATTCTAATTATATATATTTATTAAATTTTATTTCAAAATAATATTATTTTTTTTTATTTTATATTTTTTGAATTCTTTTTATTTTATAATAATCTTTTTATATAATCTTTATAATTTTTTATTAAAAATAATTTATAAATTAAAATAAAATAGAATTTAATTTATTATTATTTGAATTCATTATTATATTATTTATAATATTTGAAAAATAATTAATAATATAATCAAATTAAATTTCAAATAAATCTTTTTAAAGCTATTTTATTAAATAAAATTATATAGAATATATAAAATATAAATTATATATATTTGAATTATATATAAATATTTTTATTATTATATTAAAAATGAAAAGTATATTTTAAATATTTCAAAGATTTTTTCAATTTTATTTTGTAAAAAAGAATATTAAAGATTAAAAAGTTTTTTAATATTTTGAATATTTTATTAAATTCTAATTATTTTTATAAATAATATTTTATTTTTTTAAATAAAATAAAAATCTATTTAATATTTATATATTCTATATTATGTAAATAATAATAATCTTTTAAAATTTATAAATCTTTTAAAATCAAAATATTTAAAAGCATTTTTTAATTATTTATAAAATCTTTTTAATTAATTAATATATAATAAAATTATAAATTGAAAATAATTATTATAAAAATATTCTATATAATATATTTCTTATAATTGAAATAAGTAAATCAATTTTCAAAAAGTATTATTATTGAAATAAAAATATTATTAAGAATATTTAGATAATTTATAAAATATTTATAATATTTTTCATTTTTTGTTATTTAAGGAAAAGCGATTTATATAATTGGATTCAATAGTTTTATTATTAATAAATATAATATTATTATAATATTTAAAATTTAATAAAATCATTTTAAAATATATTAAAATAAATCAATAAATAGATTTATATAAAATATTTTTTGTATTTATAAGTTATTTTTTTAGAATAAAAAAAAGCTTTAATTATATTATATATAATTCTATATTAATTTATAATATATAAAAATATATATAGTTTTTGATTAATTAAAATATATTAAGAATATTATAGTTTTGTTTTTTTATAATAAAAATCGATTAAAAATCGAAAAGTATATAGAAATATATATAATTATTTTTGATAATATTAAAAATATTTAGAATTAAGAAGAAATTATATTTTAAATTTATTAGAAATATTAATTCTTTTTTTCAAAATTAGAATAAAATAAAAAGAGCTAATAATAGAAACTAAATTATATATTAAAATAGAAATAAATTAATTAGCTTTATTAATCTTATTATTATTTATTATAAATAAAAAAAAGATAATTTATTATAATTTAAATTAATAATATAATTTAATAATATAATAAAAAGAATATTAAAGAATCTATTTTTAAATTAAATTATATATATTCTAATATATAAAAAATAGAAATATAAAATAATTTAAATTGAAATCAGAAATGATTTAAAGAAAAATAAAGATATTTTATAAATTTAGATATTTAAAATATTAATATTATTATAATATTATATAAATATAAAATAAAAGATTTATAAAAACCTAAAAAAATATAAGTTATTTATTGAATTAAAAATAAGATTAGTTTTTTTTAATTCTTATTTTTAATTTATATTTTCATTTTCTTATATAAATTTATTAGAAAATATGGATTATTTAATATTATTTTAGAATAATCTATTCCTTTCCTATTTCAAAATATATTAAATTTATTAAAATATGGATTATTTAATAGAATCCGTAATTTAATATTTAAATATAAATTCAAAATCCATTTTCAAAAAGCACAGAATATTCAGCGGATTCAGTACGGATTTGTATATCCAAACTAGCCCTTACCAGAGCGCAAATATGTATATGATGCACCGTGAAAATCATAAATGATATTTTCTGAAAAAACAAGATGTTAATGAGGTCTTAATCTTTAAACAATTTGACACAGCAGAAACGCAGGCGGAAGGTAGATTCGTTCTGAAGAATTTCTCTTGATCACAGCTAATGAAACACCTTTAGTTTGTCCTCATGTATCATTTCTACAAAACGGCATTCCTGCTGGCACATCCCCCCGACAGAGCATTGAAATGAGGGTCATTGTATTTACATATCCACACTAGATAGTCACATCTTTACGTTCTGAAAATTTAGGTGGAAATTTAGGTGAAAAATAGAAACTCAGTGAGAATCAGCCATAGAGCTAGCCTCATCGTTATTTCAACATTCTCAGATGATATTATAAATCGTAAGATATACATGAAAGTATGTGTAAACTCAACCGGGTATACAAGAGGTTCATCTGGGTTCTTACCCAGTGTTTTTCTCACAAGAACACTTGCATGCATAAGGCTGGGGTAATTTCACATGTAGGTAGTTGTTCACTTGGAGCACGTCAATGGCAGTAAGTATTCGTCATGGATTTTCTTTGCAAAGGTACATCATTTTTTGACAGTCACTGGCATCATGAAATTCTTTTTGAGGAGAGTAGATTGAATTCAGGTCTACTATAACTCCAAAATCTCATAAAAAACATCCAACACAGCTTTCAAGGCAGAGCCTAGGCACGAGAATAAATGATAACCAGACTGATAATCCGCCTACGCTTCAAACTTAGCAAACTTCATGTCGTATATCCCCCAGAGCTGAAAGTATGGTAGCCCAAATGATACCATAGCCTCTGGTATAACAATTAGAACAAGAATCTCATTAGACAATGCGGGGTAAAATCACTCACTTCGACGACTTGCTTATACATTGAAGAAGTGGGTCAAGATATCGAGTGGTCCACCAGTTTTGACGAGTTCCTCGTCAGATTCATCAGAAGAACCTGGCTCCTCGACATCGTTGGTTTCGGGAAGGGCTGCTTTCCAGGGCTGGTTGCGGGTGTCTTTGGCGGCATCAGCATAGATCTTTTCAATACGCTTTTGCTGAGAAGCATCCGCAGCGGTGGTAGTATTTTGAGAAGGCATCTTAGTGAAGTTGGTTGTTGTGTTGCTCGTGGAGGAAAGGCTTGAGATTATGTTTTTGACAGGATTGTGAGAGTTTGATGAAGTGGTGTCTGAAAACTGAAGATGAAGGGTGACCCACTAGTTCTTATAGCTGGGAGAATACCATAACTGGTCATTGATCATGATTAGTTGTCAAGACAAGTGTTCCCGGTACTGTAAGTGCTTTTTTTTCTATCAAAGCAACTCGTAATTTTGCATTTTTTCAATCTAGGGTGTTGGCTCAAGTAGCTAAGAAAACACGAATCTTCACAGGTTTGTGATGGTGGGGGGTGTTGTGATAAAACAAGCAGCCAACCATTTGTCAGAAGATACAGAAAATTGCTAACCTCGGTATATGTAAGTATTTAATGCCTAGCTAAGTTCAGATCAATACAAATCAAATAGTGAAATATATCCAGAAGAAATTTCGGTCTAGATCTGCCGAGACACCGACGTTCATCACTAACATCAACCCAACATGCGCCTGCTGCACCCTGCTGCACTGTGCCACACAAATAAATATTGCGATAATGCATTTGTACCAAGTCAGAATGTTGCGTGACTTATTTGCTATCTCTATTCTCACAATAGAACGAGGAAACTTGCCAAGTACATTGCTTTTACACCAGGATTAAAAGTTTCCCTTCCATTTTTCTCTGTATTGAAGCCTTGTCTTTTGATATCGTTGTGAAGTATGGCTTTGAGGGATCCAGAAAAAGCGATTGGAATTGACAAGGAGGTTACATCTGCCTTGCCATTTAATTTCGCTGGAGAGAATCTAGCTGATAGTAAGGAAACCAACATTGTAAGTCTAGTTGCAATAAGCCAGATTCATTGTTCACATTCATTGTTTAGGTTACCTGGGATGGACCAACAGATCCTCAGAACCCCAAAAATTGGACCACCAGACGAAAATGGAGGATGACCCTCATCGTCTCTTGTTTTGCTCTCCTGTCGCCGTTGACCGGTACTATGATTGCACCTTCAGCCAAGTATATCGCTTCCTCTCTACATACAAAAGATTTCTTCAGCATCGATCTCGTCTCGTCTATCTTCTTACTCGGTATCGGATTCGGACCTTTACTTCTTAGCCCAATCTCAGAGATATACGGTCGGGTACCTGTATTACTTCTTGGAAATATATTCTTCATATTGTGGAACACCGTTTGCGGGTTCTCAAGAAATGTCGGTGAGCTCATTGCATTCCGCCTTCTCACCGGATTCGGAGGTTCTGCTCCTCTAGCCGTAGGGGGTGGGCTTGTTAGTGATCTTTGGCTGCCAGAACAGCGCGGACAAGCGTTAGCAATATATACCGCAGGGCCACTTCTAGGCCCAGCAATTGGTCCAATCATCGGAGGATATATCACGGAGGACGCATCATGGCGATGGATATTCTGGGTTGTGTCAATAGCAAGTGCATTTATTGAAATTCTTGCTCTTTGTTTTCTTGCAGAAACATACCCCCCCAGCATTCTCTCCCAGAAAGCAAAACGTTTGCGAAAAGAAACAGGAAATAGCAATCTTCGAACCGAGTATGACGACCCTGATAGAACTTTATGGAAGTTGTTGAAGACAAATATGATACGACCTTTCAAAATGAGCACTCAGATCATTATCCAGTTCCTCTCGGTCTACATGGCCGTACTATATGGCATAATGTTTTTGGTTCTTTACACTTTTCCATTGCTTTGGCAGAATTACTACCACGAATCAACTGGCACTGGTAGTTTGAATTACATTGCGACTGGTATCGGATTCACTCTAGGTGCTCAAGGTATGTTGAAATATCTAGTCTACATGACTTTGCGCTTGACTAACGACGTTCAACAAGTTGGCGGTAGATTAAATAACTCGATCTACAAAAGACTCAAGGGCGATAAACCTACAGGTGTACCAGAGTATCGTGTGGCTTTGATGCTCCCTGGTTCTATCTTATTACCCATCGGCCTCTTCATTTATGGTTGGACAGGCCAATATCACACTCATTGGATAGCTCCAAATGTTGGAATAGCCATATTTTGTGCTGGGGCAATCATGTGCATTCAAGGCATTCAGACTTATACCATAGATGCTTATTCTCGCTATGCAGCATCTGCAATCTCTACACTTAATGCTTTGAGGAGTCTAACGGGATTTACATTCCCATTGTTTGCACCGGCCATGTATGAAAGACTAGGTCATGGTTGGGGAAACAGCCTCTTAGCATTCATATTGTTATTGTAAGCACCATTTTTCAAGACCATGAATAAATACTTCACTCATTCAGAAAGCTAATTCATTTACTTTGAAATATAGTCTTGCCATTATAGTTCCCGGATTTCTGTTGAAGTATGGGTCATTACTTCGAAAAAAGAGTGCCTATGCATCCGGCGAGTAGGAATCCTGGTACATTGGAGATAATCAACACATATTCTGTTCATTGGGTAATACAATATTTAGAGACATAGTATCATTTTTGTGATTTCGTATTAGACATTACCCTAATAAGACATCTTTGTCAAGATTTGACCTACGTCTAGGGATACAATAATGGATGATTATATTATATTTCTTCTAAGATTACAGCAGAGACAGCTTTAATCTATTTCCTGAGACTTATATAAAAAGACATGGCGTTCCGTACCTCGGTTTTATCTCACCCGACCTGTACAGGGGCGAGATAAGTATACGGCGCCTTGAATGAGACGCGTATCATGGTGGTATACAGCCCTCATTCATTTTCTATTTGACAATCTTGATAAACTGCCTTGAGTTTCCAGGATTTCGGCACAACTATTGTGCCATCAATGCGTGAAGTAATTATTTCTTTACATTGGAGGGTTACATAGCAGCATTAAACGAAGCTCTTGCATAATTGATAGATAAGTTTGTCCAGTTTTAGTGGTTGAAATGCGAAGACATAACGTATGTTTGGCTATCCTTGTCTTTGGAGATTATAACGCTTATTTATGTTCTGGTTCATTCCTTTTCATGTGCCGCACGAGCGCATAGATTCTTCTACAACTTGTATGCTGGCCCCTCCAAACGAAGAAAGTGCTGATGCATGTAATTACAAGGCCAATATATCCGGAATAAGCCCCCTTTCAAGGAAGATTGTATTTGGCCATAGGGTCTCCTGTGTATTCCTCCTGAATTCGATTGTTTAAACTGCTACCGACTTTGGGAATTGGCAAAAGCCGTGAATGAAAAAAATCCGGAATCATTAGAAGCAATGTCTGTACCTGATAGATGTACTGTTTTGGTGGTCGGAGGAGGACCGGGAGGCTCATATGCAGCCGCTGTGCTTGCTCGAGAAGGGATTGACACTGTGATGTTGGAGGCCGATGTATTTCCCAGGTATCACAGATGATTTTCAAGCTCCGCATTTAGAATACAATCCATCAACGAAGACTCTTTTAACGTTGCAGACCTGCTTATAACTCCACTAACAGATTGCGCTGAACAGGTATCATATTGGTGAAAGCATGTTGCCATCTTTGCGTAACTATCTAGGTTTCATCGACTTGGATTCCACCTTTGATTCTTATGGATTTACAAAGAAGGTTGTTTCTCAGAATACTGTATATTCCAAACGCTCACATAATTTACTAGACAGGTGCGGCATTCAGACTCAGTCCAGAGCGACGTGAAGGATGTAAGTAGAATATGGTTACAGTCATTCTAGAGAGCCAATCTAATACTTCCAAAAGTCACAGATTTCGTCGGCACGGGAGGCCCACAAAACTATTCATGGAATGTCGTTCGCTCCGAAGCAGACAATCTTATGTTCCGCCATGCAGGAAAATGCGGAGCAAACATTTTCGATGGCGTCAAAGTTGATTCGATTAACTTCGCACCCTGGGCCAGTGAATCTGAACTTTCGCTCGCGAAAGATGCTGCTGGTGCGGGAGCCACAAGTCTCGGTCGCCCAGTATCTGCAAAATACACCCACGAGATAGACGATGTTAGTGGAGTGATAACATTTGATTACATCATTGACGCTAGTGGAAGATCAGGCTTGCTGAACACAAAATATCTGAAGAATCGCTCTTACAATCAGCAACTTAAAAATGTTGCAATTTGGGAATATTGGGAGGGCGCTGGAGAATATGGAGCAGGAACGAAAAGAGCCAATTCTCCTTACTTTGAGGCGTTACAAGGTTTGTGGCATTCAACCTTCTAATGCCTTTGTCTTTGTTAGTAATTTGTGGTTTTGGCAGACGAAAGTGGATGGGCTTGGTTTATTCCTCTTCATGACGGCACAACATCAGTTGGGATAGCCATGCAAGAACAGCTCGCCAAAGAAATGAAAGCTTCAAGTGCAAATACCAAAGAGTTCTATCATAAAGCAATCAAGTTGGCACCGGATGTCAATAAATTGCTAGATAGCGGTAAACTTATCTCAGAGCTGAGATCAGCTTCTGATTACTCGTACAACTCATCCTCGTATGCGATACCATACGCGCGTGTTGTCGGTGATGCTGGTTGCTTTATCGACCCATTCTTTTCATCTGGTGTCCACATAGCTATCACAGGAGGGCTTTCAGCCGCGACATCGATTTGTGCAGCTATTAGACAAGATTATTTGGAGCAGATTGCAGCACAATGGCATTCAAATAAGATTAGAGAGGCTTACGCTCGGTTTCTTTTTGTTGTATTGGGTGCATACAAACAAATGCGGAATCAGAAAGAGTTTGTGCTGAGCGACTTTGGTGAAGATAACTTTGATCGTGTATTCAGCTTTTTCGGCCCAAGTAAGTGTTTCCCGGCTTCCATCCATGCGATCGTTTAGTTTCAAAACCCAATAAAGTGATAATAGCTATTCAAGGAGCTGCTGATGCTACCAATAAGATCACGCAGGCTGAATTTGCAAAGACGGTGGCGTTTCTAAGCAGATCAGTGGAGCAAAAGTTTAGCGCTGCTCGAGATGATGAAGTTTTCCTGGACGAAGCAATTCTTAATCAATTTCGTCAAAATCAGATCCAATCAGCTAAAACGATGAATGATTTTACCACTGATATAATTGATGGACGAGCTCCACGTCTAGTAAAGGGAAGTTTGGGACTTATAGATCTGAATGTCTAGTCAGATGATACCAAAATGTTTCGGACTAATGGTAGTTATATAGTAAACTATTTTATTCAATTGTTAATATCAACTTGGTATTGATTAGGTGTTAAAGTGCTTTTAGTTCTAATTCTAATTCTAGTTCTAATTCTAATTCTAGTTCTAATTCTAATTCTAGTTCTAATTCTAATATCAAAAAACGTCTAAGGCACTACTTACAAATATCCCTTCAAATACGCCCTCAAATATAATCTTGGGAAGTTGTTGCTCAACAGACAGGGGGATTGACTCAGACGATGGATCAGATTCTTGGCTGGAATCAGTTCTTTGCTTTTTTAAAGGTGAAATTGGACCCGCTGAGCCCAGCGATTGCGAAGGACTGAGTGATGATAAAATTGCAGGCCCCCCCAGTCTCACTGAAAGCTGTATGCTGCATGGTAACCTCAGGTTTTGAGTGAGAATAATATGTAGCGGAGCTTTCTGCAATTTTCTCCCCTCAGGCATCTAGTTCTGAATTCGACAGGGTATTCCATTGGACAGCATAGCGGCGGTAAATTTCGGATATAAGCTTAACAAACGTAGTTCTATCGTCAGAGCATAAGTACACGAATCGGGCCCAACGCCACTTGCAAGATTGTTGAAGCCGCAAGCGGCGATAAACTCTGTGGTTTCGTGTCCGACGCCTATGTTTGCAGTCCCTGAGGAACAACAATTGAGTAAAAGTAGGACGTCGGGTTGTGCTTCTTTTAGTGAGTTTTGGATACCGCCCCATTTTACCATGTTACGAGTAGGAGCTCGATGGTTTGAACGACTACACATGCGGTTGTTAGTTTTGTATGGAGATAGTAGGGTATCCTGCCAAACACGGATCATAGTAGGAACTCAAGACATTTCATTGATTGAAAACCTTGAAAATCTAACATATTACCAATGTGTCTAGTCGTCCGAACTGGCAGTCTAGATCTGAAAGCTTTCAATATTTGAAGACCCTTCATTCAGTTGGATGTTTCAAATTATTTAATTGTCCCAGATAACTTGAGTATATATGTGTGAACGCAGTGAATGACTTCAATTCAATGGCTATTGTAGTTAAGCCCTAAGCGAATGCGAAAGAGACTAGCTCTTTCCAGTAGACCTTATATAAGGTCTACTATCCCTTGCAACTAGCTGATTCTTCAGATAGAATACAATTAGACAATTAGGACCTACGCAATCGTGGGTGCTACGTCTTCCGTATCCTTCTCATACAAACAATATAAAATCGAATGAAACAATCAAAAGTTTTTTGTTGCCGGATTGTAGTCTAGACTACTGGGTACACTGCACACTGTGCCCGATGGGAATTTGATATCGACACTAGTCTGTAAAAACATTCCCGTTCACATACCTAGTCCAACATGGCTGTCAATTTTGAGCCAGCATGCAGTGCCCACCATGATAAACAAATTTCAGATCCTCCTTATTGTCGTCGCCTAGTTCAATAAAGTCCAAGATCTTCCGATTCAGCTTCTTGTGACTTCCGTTGTTAGGTGTCCGGTAGATCTCAACTTCGAAGTCGTAAATCGAAGCGAGAACTATGCCTAGTTCGTGGACTTCAGTTAAAATACGCAAAGCCGGGTTTTCGCCATCCCATAATAGAAGAAGGACATAGACTCGGGTATGCTTGGCTACAATATTTGGGGGTCAACGAAACATTCACTTAAAGTTGAACAACAATGGGCCAGCATAGCATCCACACAAGCCAGCGAAATGTTCACATAAAGTTAGACAATAAGAAATCATAAAAAATTTATATATATTCGGATATTGAGAAGTATGATATGAGAGAATAGTGCCCTCACTTTGTTGATTGTTCGGGTAGGCTGCATTGGCAGCTTTCTATAGCTTTTCGCCAAAATCACGTATCGTAATTTAATAATATAATTGACTCAGATCACGAAATTCAAATTTAATGGCAAATAATGTGTCATCCATACTGACATCAGTCATTGTCGTTAGCTGTGTTAAATATTAAAAAGCCGATTCTTAAACTTTTTCTTTTCTTATGTTGAAGCTGAGAATAAGAGGGATCCGTATTGAGCCTTATTTTGTGACACTTTGCCTTAGAAGAACTGCGAGAGCAGGGTACAATTTATCCTTAGAATCTACAACTACAGAATCGAGGGCAAAGCGCTCGTAGAGCACACCTATATACTAGCTATGTACACGTGATCGTACACGTGCGCAAGCGTGCACGTGAGCGATCGCAACTGCGATTGAGTGCGATCCGTGACATATCTTACCAATTAAATAGAATTGATAGATAATATCAATTTGTATATAACCTAGATATATAATCTATTTATATTACGTTGGGGGGTCTAATATTTCGCTAATATTTTTTAATTTTACAATTTCCAGAAATAATATCTCCTTCTTCTTACGGGAGCTGCCTCTAGGGTCACGTGGAAGTGTTTAGAGATCTCTTGAAGTGGTTTAGACTAGACTTCAAATAGGAATTCAACAAGGTTGTAACTATTTGCAATTCTTATAATTATAATATGAAATTAATGATTATCTTGAGCATGAAGCTTTATATTGTAATGAAACCCATTCCTTTATATAGATCTCCGTACTCTTTGAATCGATAAGTCGACTATCGAAAAGTTATCTCATCCTCAGACCACATAATGATTATATAATTTTTTTAATCTTGATTTCGAAATAGAAACCTCCTGAAGGTTTATCACCATAAAATCTAAAACAATTTGATTCTAGCTTTAGTAAAAAAATCAATAATTTATTATTTTTTAATTTTTCAATTAAAGATTATAAATCATTTAATAATTATATTATTTTAATATAATTTCAATATATATAAATAAATTTTCTTATTATTTTAATATATTTTTTATTATAATAGTTTTATTCAATTATATATATATATATATCAAAAAAAAATATTTTTGAAAATCAATATTTTGTAGTGATAATCACCCCTTTTCCCCAATTTATTATTTTCATTTATTAATTTATATAACCATATATATTCTAAGAATTCTTTTAATTCTAATAATTTTATTGTATTATTTATATTTCTATTAATATTGTTTTTATTGAAAAATGAGTAATTGAATATTATTTTTTGATAATAATAATAGTATAATAATCCTTTGTTTTTATATAATATATTGAAATTGCTTTTAAATATAAATAGAGTTTATTATATAAATTGTAAATAAATTAAAATAAAAATAAAATAAAAGTGAAATATATATTCAGTTATCAATTTATAAAAATAAAAATAAACTTTATTATATTTATTTCTATTGATTCTTAAAAACTCCTATTATTTTTTGTTAGTTTTTATTTAATTTATTATTGAATTGTATTATATTCTGTAAATATTCATTAATTTATAAGATTTCCTATAAACTCCTATTATCTTCTATAGATTTCTATTATCTCCTAAAACCTTCTATTATATTTTGCAAACTCTTATTATTATATCTCCAAAACGAAAAAATAATAATAAATATTTTAAATAGATTAAAGCTAAAAAGCTAAAGAATAATTATAGAATTATATTAATTATATTTAATATACTGATAATATCAATAATTGAATTAAACAAATATATAAAATGAATTTATAAAATTGAATTAAAGAATATATCTATTATAATTAAAAAAAAGAATAAAAAAATATATTGAAAAACAAAAAAAGCTTATTGAATTATATCTTAAAAGAATTTTTTGATTTTTAAATTCTATTATTATTCGAAAACCTAAATCTATATAAACTCGAATTCTATATTATTTAATTTATAAAAATAATAATACTCTTTATATTATTAAAATTAGATTTAAAAAAAGTTTGATATTTTATTTATATTTCATTTTGATAAAAAAAAATATTCTTTAAATAGTTTTATTAACAAAACTTGGAAAAAAGCAATTCAAGAATATCAAAAAAAATCTTCATGAAATGTTATCTTATTTTCTGAATTTCGAGTTATTAAAAAAGGAAATTGAAATAATCAATTAAATTTATTAATTAGAATATATGTTAAAAAGAGAGTAATAGGACAGTGATTACATATATTAATGACTATGTAGATTGACTTATTAGACTTAAGATCTAGACTACAAAGTGAAAGATATATATATATTAGTATATATTATTACTTATATAATATATCATATGTTATATATCTTATATTTCTAATACTCTCCCAGAGAGGATATTCTCTTTTAGCTTTTATAATTGAATCTTAGTCTACTATAAGGCCTAATATGTTCTTATATTTTTCAAATATCACTCTAATATATGATTTCATTAACCTATCACGAGATCACTTCTGAGAGTATTCAGAAGCTTTATTGCTAAGCTAAAAGCCTAAAAGATTAGAAAATAGAACTAAAAGTTTTATCTTACTCTTATATATATAGTAAAATAGAATAGAATAAGAAGAATTAATATTATTTTATAATACTATTTCTTTTTTTAAGATATAATCTTTATATTATTATTTAATTAGAAGGTTTTAGAATTAATACCTCAAGTATTTAGGCAAATAGAATTTATATATATTAATTCTCAAATCAATAAAGGTTTATAAGCTATAAATAAATCTTTTATATAACTCCATATTTATAATTAAAGATAATTCTATTTAATATTGTAAAATTACTTCTAGGAGTATTTAGAAGCTTTATTATTAAACTAAAAGCCTAAAAGATTAAGAAATAGAATTAAAAGTTTTATCTTACTCTCATATATATAGTAGACAAAAGACACACACGATACATCTGCGAGCTTAGATCGCACTAAGCTGCATCTTCCGATTATGTAAACTCTAATATCAAATATAATTACAATCGTTATTAACAATGTAAATATTATAACAATTATTTCTATGAGAATACTAATTATAATCAATTCTCTAATTTATTTAAGATTAATTATTATTTTTATTTTTATTATTTAATTATAATAATACAAATATCTATAATATAGAAGCTATGAGAATTATTATATTAAATTTATTGATAATAAAAGGATTTTTTATTATAAATTAATTTAATATTTTCAATAAGTAAGTGCAATTTAAATATAAGGTCTACAAAATATTTGAAATAATACTTTATTAATTCAAAATTAATAATATATTAGAAAAAGTAGTTTTTAATAAAAAAATATATAATATAGTAATAAATAATATTAAAACTAAATTATTATAAATTATAATATAATTTATAATTAAAATTAAAAATAATAATAATTCAAATTGTATTTATATAAATATTATAAAAATCCCAAAAAACTTGAATATATTTATAAATATAATTGTATATATATAAGAACAGGCTAATAAATGAAAATTGATTAAATCCTAGAAAATTAGAATAAATATCCATCTATTAATAATAGGAATTACTATATTAATAATAAGCTGCCCAAATATCTATATATTAAAAAAAGTAATTAATAAGGTTATTCCTAATCTGAAAAATATTAATATTATAATTATTATTTCTATAACTATTAAATAGGTGGTATACACTACTAATAGCATTATATATAATAAACTTCTTAAAATTAAGAATATAAAAAAAATCAAGAAGATTCTAAATTATAATAATTTGAAACAATTTATAACCTAATATTACTATATACTAAAGGGGATTTCAACTTTTCTCTATAATTTGAATAGAAATAGAATATTAATTATTAAGGAGATAATAGTTAAAAAAATATTAATATAAATAAATATTTCTTTAATTAATTATCGAATTATTATTTAAATAGCTAATTTCTATAAGTAAATTTGGATTATTAGTCTATTAAGAAAAGTCTTTTTTTTTAAATTCTTTAATAATTCTAAACAAATTTAATATATTAAGTCAAAATAGTGTATTATTTATTATAATCCAGGGTATTAGGGTTTTTATAATTCAATAATATATAAAAATACTTTAAAATATAATAATTATAGTATTTTATAAACAAATTATAATGGTTTGTTTGGGTCTAAGTGCAAGGCTAAGATTGAATATGTAAATTACATAGGATTGTTTCCGGCTGAGTATAATAACTATTCTGTAATACTGTATTAAATTAATGGGAAAATTATATATTTTACGAAATCCGAAGTCTATACGATTAAAAAATATAATTAAAAAACTCATTTAATTATTAAAATATTAATAAATAAGATAGCTATTTTAACTATAATAATTTCCTAGAGTATAGTAATAGAGATATCTCTCTTTATTTATAGGAAATATATTATTATATATAAAAATCTAAATAACTTCTAATATACCTCTTAGAATATCTTTCTAGTTAATAGTTTGCCCGAGAATCCTTATTGCCCCAAAAGGAAGTACCCAAATGAGAATAGTCTGAATAAAAAGATGTTTTTCAATATCATATTATTATAGTATATTAATATAAATATCGATATTAATTTGAATAAATAGCTATTCCTCTTAATATTGCAGTATTAGTTATTAGATAACTATAGTTCAATTTATATAAATTAATTAGGCAAATATTCAGAAGAAGATAGAAATATATATTATAATATTATAAATAGTATATAAATAAGATTTAAAGGTTTTATATATATAAAAACCTTTTATATATTCTGAATTTTGAATTTAAAATTATTTGGAATATAACCTTTTTATATTAATAAATAATTAGAATAA